CAGGTTCTAGAACAATATCGCGTTATATATTGTACCGTTTGTACATGTTGACAGAAAGACACTCGATGCGCTCGATAGCCGCAATGGCTTCTTGTTAAATTGAGAAACTTTCGGAAAGTATAATATCCCTTATGAACTCCGCAAAGCCGATCAAAACATAACTCTTCTTATATCTAAAGAATATATCAATATTCATGTGATTCTTCTAAATTATAAATATTTCGATAATTTTAGCAAAAAGGCTTTTCTTAGCAAATAAATTTGACAAACGATCATCATTTATCACAATTCACAATTTTTTCATGATATTTTAAACATGAATTATTTTGATATTCAAATTTCTAAGTAAGATTTTATTATTAGTTTTATTATTATTAATTTTTAATTTTCTTGGCAAAATGATTTCGACATAACTAGCAATTTTATTCAATACTTTCACGACGTTTCGACCATTTGGTTGTGGTCCTTATCAAGTGACCACAACCAAATGGTCGAAACGTTGTGAAAGTATTGAATAAAATTGCTAGTTACGTCGAAATCAATTTTGCCAAGTTTATTTTCACCACTAGCGTCCAATATTAATTTTGATTGATCTTATTTTTAATTTTATTATTAGATTTTATTATTATTAAAAGTTGCTTAGGAATTTCTTCAATACAAAAATAATAACTTTGTTATATAACTATAAGTATTTTATTAAGCAATCAAAATCAATTAAACTAAATTGAATTATTTTTTATTATTTTGTAATTGCAAAATAATTGCAAAAAAGATTAAATATAAAATAAATAATTTTGCTAAGGTATTATAAATATATTTATACAAACATGTGTGTATGAGGGAGAGAATCTGTAACTGAAGTAAGATATTCTCTCGCAACCTCTGATACATTCTGTTCATATATGTGCGTATACTAAAACACTACTACGCAAACGATATAACTCACGGAAGTGAACAGAATAAAGTTTCTTAATAAGCGTTGACGTCGACACCGCGTGGCAATTCCTTAAGTCGATAGAGAAACTCCGTTTTATGAACTGACTAACGGATTAGAAACGAACTCCTCTCTCTTTAATTAAACTCTACATAAATTTTGTTAATAGTGTTAAAAATATATTTTAATTACAGAAAATTTAAGTCTTTAGATTGCAGCTAATTTTAATATAAAAGAGCATTATATATATATATATATATATATATATATATATATAATTTATAACTCTTTATTTATATTAATATTAAATTAATAATATTAAATTTATGATTTTTTAATGTATTACTTATCATATAATAAAATTCTTTTGTTAATTTTATATATAAATATATAGAAATATATTGAATATCATTATATGCATATAAATTTATATATATATATAAATATAATTATATATATATATAATTTATATAAAAATTTATAACAATACAACTAGTATGTTAAAAAATGAATTTAAAAGCAAATATATATTTAAAAATATTGCCCCCAGAGAGATTTGAACTCTCGACCCCTGGTTTACAAGACCAGTGCTCTAACCCCTGAGCTATGGAGGCTTCTATCGTCACCTTCCGTATACTAAAAGTAATGCTAAATTAATCATATTTAATGCATTAAATGAAAATATTGCTTTAATTGCGACATAAATGCTGTTTTTATATAATAGAATATTTAAATTTGAAGAAATATAGAAAAATGTCATACAATAAGTATTTAAAAGAAAGCTAAAATACATATTTATTGCTACTTTTCCATTCTACTTTTCGATTTAAATTAAAAATGTTTTTGTTTTCAAAATTTTTAAATAAATAAAAGCATATGTAGAATTATGTATTAACATTAAAACAATATGACTAATTTTTAAAGTTGTTTGTTTGAAGAAATGAAAAATATATCACGACAAAGAAAATTATTGATTTAAAATTTTATTTCAAAATTTATTTATTAAAAAGTTTAATGTGTCTTTTAATGGCTTTTATTAACGCTCATTGATAATACCTACTTTGCATTTGTACTATAAGACTTCAAATCTGAGATATTGTATTTTATTACTAAAAACATATCTTGCAATTGCAATTTTTTCAATTTGATAAATATTTAATTTACTTTTTAAATCATATAATAACGGCATAAAAAGATAGTAATGATGACAAAAATTCCATATTATATATATAGTTGAGAAAGCATATCAAAATTATTAAAATACTTTCTATACTATTAGAAAAAAAGGTTTTACTTGGATATAATAATAAAAAAAGACACAGTGCAACTGTGCTCACATGAAAAGTAACTTTCACCTTTCATTTTGCGAACCAAATAACACGTAGCTACCCAATGAGTAGCAGAGGAAGTTCATGAAGAACATAGCATGGTCATAGCCAGTCTGTCATAATGCAACCGACTCCGTGTAAATGAACTGTTGCAACCTTTCCCTTAGCCTAAGTAAACACATCCTTACACAACGGCTAGGATAACAAAAAGTCTATTCACGCTTATAAAAGCGTTGCTCGTTTTTACACCGATTTTATACAATGCTCATGTAAACTTTAAGACAAGAATAAACCTTTATGTCAGTCTTGTCGGGATAAAATTTTTAAAAATCTCTTTATGTTATTATTATTAAATATTGTTATTCTATTAAACGTTATTTGCAAAATTTGCAAAACTTTCTCGAAATGCGATAAAAAAAATATCATAAACAAGAAAGATCTAAACATTATGAATTACAAATATTATACAACATTTTCTGATTTTTTGCAGAAGAGGAGAAGTTTTTAAACGCGAACAAAAAATGCGCTTAATTGTCAAGATAATTTTTGATACCACTGTAATTTTTTACGCGCAGGAAAACAACACTCTTATCGGAAAATCCTCTCTGTAAAAAAAATGGAATATATTATTTGATAATAATGAGTAACTAAATTCGCAGTTTCGAAATTAAAAACTTTAACTGCCGGAAATTAAAGCGAAGGCAAGAAGCTAACGAACTATAATCAAGGACTAATTAAGTTCTGACAAGGCTAATTAGGAGCGGATCGTACCGTTCGTCAACTCGCGAGAACAGAGCTAATTTCATATCTAGCTATATATAATAATATATTTTATTTAAAAAACAACGCAAAAAAAGCGCGATTATTTTGACTCATTCTTTGGATTTATGTTCCACGAGAAAAAGGGGAGAAATAAAAGGTGAAACAAAATGCTCTTAACAGAAAAAACCGTGGGAAAATGTTCGCTTGCCTCACGTTATAAAGCACGTATTACGTTTTCGTTTGAGTAATCCTGCGCTTCGGCTGCAAAGCTTTACGTTTCCAAGTTCGAAGCTTGTCAAAGTATCTCTTATCATCACTTCTGTCACGAACACGAGCAGATAACAGACAAATCTACACATCATCAACACATATTGTATCAATTGTATATTATAACTTGCAATTCATAATGTTTAATATTGCAACGCAACATGTAAATGTGTATCGCAAAATCGATAAAAAAAAACAAACATATATATTCGCAGTATGCTCAGAAAATCAATAATATCGAATTTAATACCAAGATATTTGCTTTCACGCGTATACTACTGTATTTCTCGGTCATATATACCGATTTCTCGTTACAAATTTTCTTTTATAAAAACACTTCAATGTGAACACTCTGAAATGTGAGCGCAAACAATTCGATTTGTTAAAAATGTAATTTTACAAATTCGGAAAAAAAAGAAAATGTGTACGTTTTATCTGATTAATTGTGATCGACAAGCATAAATGTAAATAACTTTTTTCACCCACCCTAGAATAAAAGTCAGAATCATAATTACTCTCAGGATATACATATATAATTAAAATTTTCCCGTCTTCTTGAGAAAATAAAAAAAAAACTTCATAAAGAATATTCTCTCACATCCGTCACGCGATTCTTTACAGTCACACTGTCAGACTCAAGAATAATATATCCCTTGTGAAGTATTATAATACAAACAACATTATCTATACAATCGATCGTGGTCCGATCCTATTTAGATATTTATTAATATTCTGCATATTCAATATTACTATCGCTTTTCTTGCACGAATGAGCGACGATATAATTGCCGGCGCATGATGAACGATCCGCGACGATTGTAGACGCAATTTGCCATTTGCAGGGAATTAACATCGCGTAACGAGCGCACGAGCGTGGCGTAATCAAGGACGCGGCATTACACGAAATGCAAATACAATTTTGTTGTCGATTACTCGCTACCATGTGGCGCAAGGTTGCAAGAAAAATCTATCAGGATGTAACGGGATTTATATGATAAACTATCTCTCGATAATAAACCGGAGATCTCGTATCTCTTTCTCTCTCTTGCATGCGTTATAAAACGCGCTCATATAACCAGAATCACGTGTTAAACGAAAATAATTTAGCTGTGTATATTTTTATAACAGCTGTACATATTTACGACAGCACACAGTTTATTTAAAACATTTATACTCGTATATACTTGCACGTTTTGTATTTTTCACAATTTAAAATAAAATAGATTAAAATTTCAGAATACGTTTCAAGATATTTTGAATTCATATTTGCTCATATCGTATATCAAGATATACGCGCGAATATTTTTTTAATTAAAAACAATTGAAAATAAAGAATTTCTCCCAAAAATAAGCATCATAAAAACAAATAAGAAAGAGAGAATCTGTTTGTGTTGATATCAAGATAGATTAGTAATAGTTTGATATCAAGTAAGTTTATAGTTTGGATACATTTCATAATTATATATATTTTAATAACAAATAAATGTATATGTATCGTTTAATAAAAGTAAACAATAGCATATATATTGCAGAAAATGTAAATAGAGATTGGAAGAGATTAAGAGGATTCTGTCAGGAGCAATGTGTTTGCTCTAAGGAGTTTATTTCAAACTCACGTGTTAGAACAAAATCCGTCATCAAAATTTCATCACTTAATTTAAAGCATTCTCGAGGATAATAAAGTCGTGTTAACTTACTTTGCTAGGTCGAACTGACGAGATCCAGTGACAATCCAGAATCAAAAGTTTATTCCATCCAGTTCGCGCGCAAGCTTCAAGGTGATCTCTAGGGTGGAAGTGTCATTGTGCCACTTGGCGGAGGATGCGTTGGGATCCACCGGATGCAGTGTCGGTAGGTGCAGCCGATATCTGGTAGAATTGTGATTTAGTTAGTTTTACGTGCGTCGGGTAAGATAGATAGATAGATTTACGGCCTCTCGTAAAATTGTCAAAGAAAGTAAAAGCGCGCGCACGCTTGTCAAAGTCAACATCAAATCGGACCTCGACGCGACGTGCGAGAGATTTCGCTCTCTTTCTGTCGCTTACAACGATAAATTTTCCGTCTCACCTTGGGCTGCGCACGTCGATCGCTTCGGATTCCACAGAGAGCTCCACCTTTTCCCGCGTTTCCTGGGGCAATTTCACCAGTACCGACAGCCATTCGCAGGATGCCGTGCTTGGCGTTTTAAACCCCATCTAAATAACAATTCGTCCGTCTTCAAGGTCGATTGCTATGCAATTTACACGTAATGTGTCGATCGGAATAAATTGTGTTCCGCATTTCGCGCAAAGCTTCCACTTGAGAAGGAATAATCGAGTAGTATCAAATATGTATGAATTTATATTCTTCTATCGCATTGTATTTTTATTATTTTTACTATTTTAATTTTATTTTTTGTACAAAATTATATTTCATAAAATTAGATTGCAGATATAAATATCTTTAAATTCGATATCTCTTTCGAAGTAAAAACTAATTAATATATTTAACTTATTTTTATGCATATATATTATGTAATTGATGTATAAACTCGTCAAAAAATAATAAATAACTATATAAATAAAAATTAGAATGGAGTAATTAATTTTTGCATTAAATCTACAATGAAAATACACAATGTATATCCAAATTGCTAAAGGCTAATACAGTTAATTTTCTTCGAAATGTATTGTCGCCCTATATTGTAAAGAACGTATGTAACTCACTCCCAGATAAACATCCTCCGCCGTCACTGCTTGTTTGAACTTCATCTCGTATTCGGGCACCTGTCTCGGGTCATAATCCTGCGCATTTTGAGTGTCAAGCGCTTCCGAGGGATGCCAAATATCGTCGCCGGCGCCTTTAAGCGGTGCATGCGGTCCTGTTTCTGCAAGATCCTGGGGAAATCGCTCGAGGGGCCGATATCCCTCGGTCCTTAAACAAATATTTCATTTGTTAGTTGTTATTCTATCTCCCATACACAATGGACGGGTAATTATGTTATCTTGAGACTAAAGAATAATACATGGATTTAATTACTATGAAATGTAATATGCGTAAGAGTGTTATTTAATTGTAATTCAAGACGGATATATAAAATAATGATTTATAACTAGTATTACGTAACGGATAACATCTCAGCGCGACGATTATTAGAATTAATTATTGACAGCATTTATACAACAGGTGTGTTTCATTGCTATGTTACGTGTATTTTTTCATAAAGTGTTATTATCCGTATAATGATCCGTATAATTATCCGTATAACGCCGATTTATAAGAATAAGAAATCGAACCGTATAAAAAACTCGCACATAATCAATACAGTGTATTATCTTCGATACCACCGCTCTTTCTCTCTCTCTCTCTCTATCCTGCAATATTCATTTAAAACGAAAATATTTAAAAATTATTTTCTCTTTATTTATTTTATTTTTTTCATTGACTTCTTCGCTAATCGACGAATTTCTGATACGTACGTGATTACCATGAATAATTGTCGAATATCGAAATATCACGAATATACGGTAATCCCAAAAAAAAAAAAAAATATCTGGATATTCTTTTAATAGTAGATTAATTTGAAGTCGATTTTTTTTCTTATTGTTAACGAAAATGTCGAGATGAGAGATATTTATCAAATAACTTTTTTCCCATTTTTTCCATCGTATATCTTTTTAAACCTTAAATTAAAATTCTGTTAAAGTAAACTCATGTAAAATTATTAAAAAAATATAATTTTGATAAATTTTTAATTGCAGAAAGTATATTTAGAAAGCATTTCTCTCCATCGCTTGTAACTCGACAATTCGTAAAAAAAAAAAAAGGAAAAATTGTGTCTAAATCGTCGATCAAGAGTCTGTTAAGAGGACATCTGATAATTTTGAGACACTCTATATATACGAAATAATAACGCGCGGATTATATGTTTGCTATTATATTCGCACGCCAATTAATATTATACATCGCACACAATTTCAGTATTTTTTTTTTTACTGTCTGCCAGATATAATATCCTGAACATACATTGAATTAAACGCAACAATTTTCCGCGAAACAACTTCAGAGCTTGAAATTGCTCGGGGAAATTGGCTGGCGCGTTGCAATAACGAATTTCGCTTTACCTTCATAATCAATCGGTTTTGTAAGCGTAGACCTACCTAACTTTCTCGCGCCCGCCTGCGTAAAATCGTCCTCGACGTCGGATCATCCTGGGCGGGCAATTAAATTCTGTAACGCCTTCCTGCAAATCCTTCGGACTGAAACAACCTTCCATGACGCGACGCGCAGCAAATAGTTCACTATGGAGGAAATCAACAATCAACAACCGTCCGTCGCTATGGCAACGCTTTCGCGCTTTTTCGATAAAGGCGGTCAAATTTGAACTGTAACTCGACCGAAAAATTATCAATTTTTAAGTTAGAAAGATTAAAATCACAGTAGAACGTAGAGAATCCGATTAAGCAATTGTGCTGCATTATTTAAAATAAATTTATGAAAAGATCTCTTAAAATCTTTAATATATATAGAAAGAGAGTGAGAGTGAGAGAGAGAGAGAGAATAAAGGAAGAGAAAGAGAGAGAGGAAGGGAGAAAGGAGGAAGACAAATACATACTTTAATTATATAAGTAAATATATATAGGAAAGATAACAAACAGTATCATTATCGCGCACGTTTAATACCAATAAAAGCATAATCCTGCGAAATTATATCGCCTTTGAATTAAACACGTACCTATTTAAGTATATATATATATATATATATGTATATATGTATATCATTATACATGTATAATGCATATTATAATTTTTCTTTCAAATAAACAAAGTTTCAAAACAAATCAATTATTTATTTATTTACCTGTTCAATATATTCTTCGCTTATGCAACAGCACACACAGTCGAAGCTCCGGCAACTTCCCGAAATATATCCGTTCTAACAGAGAGATGATTTTCGTGGAACGTTTAATAACTCGTATCGCCACCTTATAGTCATTATGCGGAACTATGTAGTCACAATCATTTTTCGACTGCCGGTAAAATCAAGTTTGGTGTATGTCCATACTTATAAGATAAATTTTTCCCGCGAAAAATGCCAATATATAGTCGTTCACAGACTTCTCTCTTTCTCTTAATTACATGTAAAAAATCTTCATTATATATCTTATATATAAATTAGTAATTCAATTTATTTCCTTATTATACTTTGATGTTCCAACATCTTATTATACAAGTAAAATAATACAAAATAAAATCTTTTTATATTTTGAATATAATATATGTATATATTATATTCAATATTTTCATAATTTTTAATAATTATCTGTTAATATCATTATAAATCTTATTTAATTATTTAAAACTCAAGTTTTTAAAAAATATGTAAAAATTCTGATATAAAAGAGAAATGAAAAAAAACTTTATCTATTAAATTAATTTCTATTAATTTATTAACTTATAATTGCGATTTGATCAAAATTTTACATTTAACTGACAAAATTCACAATGATATATTATTGTATATGCTATTTATTTCTAAAGAATTCCATTTTTATAGGAATTGAAATAAATAATATAAATTCTTCAAATCTCTTTTAAAAATAAATCCCTATTCGATATGTATCATCTTCAAATTATTTTCAGCTAACGTTTAGAAACTTGTGATATAAATCACAGAGTTAATAATAGAAGACAAAATATATATATATGTACATATAAGTGTGAACCAAAATGCCAACGAGATATTACTAATTAAATCGTGTGGAGTATATATTGCACATATATATATATATATATATATATATATAATAATATAATAGAGATGAACATAAAAGGTGTATCACTAAATAAACAACCCTTGTAGCACATACATTGATTTATTATACGTAGATTGTTCATAGCTTATTGTTTCTCTATTTTTTTTATAGCAACAGCAAATATACTATAGTTTGGTCAGATTAACAAATGTTCTTTCTCCAATCTGCCGTAGATGTGATTATTCATGTCGCTACACCGGATATAACACGAATAACCGAGCCTGTATACATCGTTGGCAGGTTGTGACATATGGAGGCCTGATCAATCATCCGGACATGATGGTCTCCGTTTAAATTTGGTTGCCAGTGTGTGTTGTGATTAAATTTTTGATAATCATTTTCATAATCGAAGACACATCCAAGAGAGGTCTAGTTAGATAATTAACTAAGTTCACAGCGCGTACTAAAAGCGTACTAAGAGTCCTATATCGTCCTCCTTTGATTACTCTCACGTATCAAAGGTACGCGCTGTCTTTTTTTATAACGTTTACGCGAAACAACGCAACGTACGTAATTCAAAAAGAGTCTCCTCTTTCTTACCCCCCCTTTCCCCGAAGATACTCTTAACGTTAATAAAGTACCCCACCCACCCACATTCACTATACCTCTCTTTTTCATCCGTCGCATTAAATGCCATCGCGATTAACTGGCGCGCAATCCGTCTTAAATTTTTTTTAAGTCCCTACTTTTATAATATTATATACAATTGTTTGGCACCGAAGTTGTCTTTGTTTTTTTTTGTTTTTAAATTTTTTTTTAATCGCACGATGCCAGCGCGAAGGTTCAACGTGAACGTACCCTTTCCCTGTTGTATGTTCAAGAGAGCGAAATCAGGTAAAAGTACATCTGAGTGTGTGTTTGTGTTGTGCTTGCGTCGTGTGCTCGATCAAGGATCGTTCGCGATCGGTGATAGCACTTATCGAGTCGAGGCGCGCGCCAAGGGATTCGGAACCTTGGGTGCTCGAGAACAAGTATATATCGCCCTGGACTCTCGCGTGGTCCTGTCCTAATCGTCGCTCGTCAATTACGGACGCTCAAGTACGAACGACGCGTTCCGACGATTTTTTTTTTTTGTTAAGTACACATTAGCATGTTACAAGAGCCTCTTCATCATCTTCATCAAACTTCTTCTCTTTGGCATAGTTTATAAATATACACATCTCTCCTGTGCTCTTTTCTTTTGTCTCTCTCGCATTCTTTTGCCATGTTACTGTGTGGAATGTATGTTGCCGGTGTATGCACCTCGGTCAAAAACCTCGTCGTCGTTACCTGGAGCCTGTCACAAGTCAGTACATTGCCAATCCGACTCTTTGGACGTCTCTCACGTCTGGCGCGTATCCGCAGATACATATATATATATATATATATATATATATATATATATATATATATATATATATTTACATATATATATATACATATATCTTTTCGCTCATGTAGAGACGGATCGGCAAAGCGCTTAGCCCGCGATGCGGTCTCTCTCTTATCGTTACGAAAGTTACATTAATTTATCTCCGTCTTTTTCTTAAACCGTATCCTAGGGAACTCTGACTGCCACTGGTTCTCAGCGAATTCCAGACTGCCCAGCAGTCAGACATACATAACAATTATCACAACTTAATATCGTATAATACTAATACAATATTATGTAAATATATTAATATTTAATCATAAATATTCTATATATATATAATATATTATTAACAACTGACTTGTTTGCGTTTTTTTTTATATCCCGCGATACACGTTTCGTATCGTAATACTGTGTGAGACTGGTAAAATACCATACGAAACGTAATATACATTACGACTTCCATTTCTCTTCGACACTATCAAGCTTTGGAACGTAAATATAAATTAACGTCGTCATAAGCTACGCTCGCGTATGCGCGTGTAGCATCTTTCAATACTGTTTAATATGCGTATATGTTTAGGTATGTGTGTGTGTGTGTGTGTGTTGTGTTATTATGTGTGTTTAAAATCTATTATAATTTTACTAAAAAAATATTGATTGATAAACTACGCGTACAGTGCTATAATTATTAACATTTAAAAATGAGATCTAGTTTCTTTATTAATGTAAGAACAAACATTAAGAATCATTAGAGTCGATAATGGATTTAATGCTGTATATATGTACTGTATGTGTGTGTATGTACGTGTTTTAGTGTATTCGAAAACCTTATCTACCTGTCCCTCTCGTGCTCTTTTTTTACCAGTGTGTTTTCTTGTCGCGTTGTAAGTACTTATGTTTTAAGTTCGTGCAGCGCAACCGCTGTCGGACGATTTCGAGGCCGATTTTATTTTGTTACGTACGCTAGTCAATCGAGTTCTTTCTATGTATGGCTACGTGCTCTTGCCGTTTTCGCAGCATGTTCGAATCACTTTCACTTTAAATGTTTGTTCACTCAGAAGATATCTTCGTCCGGATCGCTCGACGGTGCAGCCTGAAGCGCCAATTGCATACTGGATTCTGTATTACGCCGCTTCATTTTACCCTTAGTCTTCTTCAGCATCGTAGCCTAGGAAGGGACAGGATCAAAGGAGCGCACAAAGGAGCACAATCGATAAAAATGTCAGTCAAAATGTCGCTGACAAAATAGAAGTATAGAAATAGAAATAGATACGTATATATATATGTGTATACGTATACATATACATATATATAAATATAGAAAGAGAGAGAAATAGAGAGATTGCAAACTTAGGGTCAACAACTTATACGTATAGAAAAAAAGGAGGAAAAAAGAGAAGAAAAACGTTACTCTCGCAAAACTAACTAACTAACTACTATCCGATAGAATGTCTAAATCCACACATTACGACACAAGCTCGAGCTAGCTGCATTGGATCGAGGCATCGACAAGGTGTTACGGAGATTTGATCGGTTTTACATGCATCAACGAGGAGGGACCGGATCGTTTTTTTTTTTGTAGGTGGAAACGCTTTATATAGATAGACGGCACGATTTGTCACACCGAGACTCCTCTCTCGCGCTGCTTACGCGCGTCGAGGAATCTAGGTTGAGAGATGTCGCGTGTCTTGAACGAAATACTCGATTCGAAACGTTCGAGCAGTTGTGAGCTGTGGTATGGTTGGATTACTCGTCCGTGCTCTTGCCCCCCTCCCCATTAGCAGGTAGAATCGACGGTTCGGTATTGCGACGCTTGATCTTACTTTTCTTCAACATGGTAGCCTGAAGTGAACAAAGGAACAAGGAGATATTAGTCGAGTGCGATTAGGGGAGGAAAGCATGCGCTGATAGGTATCAGCAATCAGGTTACGCTTTTACGGAGAAAATACAGAGAGTATTATATAAATGTGAGAAACAAAAGATACTACAAACTAATACATACGGATGCTCCTGTTGAAAAAATATACGTGCCACAAAAACGTATATACGCCTCATTATTCTACTTAAACCCGAACAGAGTAAGAGACGCAATCACATTTTCATCATTTATCATATTTTAAAAATAGAAAGATTATCGCGTTTATTAATATCGATACATGTCTCGTATCGATTCGATAAAAAATAATTCTACATTACGTTCTGTTCGTAATTTTTGTAGAATTATGAGGGAAAGGGGGCGATTTTATAAGATCTCAAAATGTTACCTTGAGTGCAGACTTCAAGACTACAATGTCTCCGGGACTCTGAACCCACGGTTCGCCGTCTACTTGTACAGGTATATCTGAGTTTAAGTGAATTTTTATGTGTCCGCCCTAAAAATTAAAATAAAGCAACACGAATAAGAGTGTATTAATATTTTGTATAGAAATAAAAAGAGATAAAAAAGAAAGTAAAATTTTTATATTATCTTAATTTACCTGCGCTATTCTCATAGCCGTACGTAAACCCGACTGTATTTGTCCAAGGTGCATAACGCCTGTGACTCCGACAACTTCTAACATACCATCCCAATGATTTGGTGTATAAAATTGATCTTCTTTGGTATCTGGTCCCCAAGGATTAGCACCAGAACCCCAACTAAATTATAATGAGAAAAAGTGTCGTTTAAACTAACGATTAAATCTTTTCTTCCAAGAAGAATGAATCCTGTAAATATTACCTTAAAATGTTCAGAATAATTATTCCCTCTACTTGCGGTAAATCGACCAATTTTCCATCTACTTCTAACCGAATTTCTTTATGTAAATCTTTGCACGGCTTACGTTTGACCATCTTACGTAAACCCATAGTTACATATACACCTTTATTTCGTAATCTGCTTTTGAACTTATTAGGGTTTTCCTCTCTCGCGTTGTGAAAGTCAAGACATAAATCCGCATCGACGCCGATGCCAAAATAATTATTCATTACATATATTTGCGTATTGTCTTCGCTTGTTGAACCAGCGCCTGTAACATGATACGACGTTACTTGCTACGATGCTGCGACATTTTTCTTTCTATTTAAATTACAAAGTTCGTTTCCGGTAGATTGAACAAAAAAAAAAAGAAGTCTCGTTTCTCACCTGCAGCATTACCAACTACTTGAGTCTGTTCCTTATCTTCCGGATGAAAAACTACGGTCCATCTATCTAATATTATTTCTTCAGCATCGATAACGTCTCGCAACAAGTTTAATGGATCCTCGTCGCCCGTATATCCTGAACCCCAACATAGTACACGCGCAAGATCGTTTCCCGTTCCCAAAGGTACAATAGCGCAAGCGGGAGAAGAGCACTCACTATCCTGGCCCACATTATCTAAGCATTGTAAAACCCAGCCTATCGTTCCATCACCACCGCAAACTAATATCTTGTAGTCTTTTATGTGGCGAAAAACGTAAAGCCTGTAACACGAGGAATGCATTTCTGTTCAGCGCTTTCACTTTCGCGAAGTTCACATTTTAATCTTTAAAGTTGCGATCCACTTACCCGGGTAGAGGTCCACCATTATCGAGATCAAACACTTGGTAGGGATTTAATAGTTTACGAAAACTAGAAATTAGCTGGAGTCCTTGACAACCGCCAGATTTTACATTTACAAACACGAGTAATGGTTGAACACTCGATGGTACCATACTTGGCTCGATACTCGGTAAAAGCATTACTGGTAGAAAAAAAAGAATTAAATTGAGCAAATATTTCAATATATATCTCATTAAAACTAACAATCATATAACTTTTTATATCAATTGTTGACAAGCGATACATATATGCTTATCTAGTTTATCCGCGTTAAATCTAAAAACTATATGAAATTATATGTGATATTATATATACCTAGAAGATGCTTGTCTTCGTATTTTGACTCTCGCAACGCATATAATGCTCTGACCGCTTTATTCGAATCTTCGTATATAATGACCATCGAACCGTATTCGTAATAAATTGGGCCAATTGATGAAAACCTATTTTCTATAAAGTTTAAAAAGAGCCACGCGTAAATTTCTATTATATACATATTATATATTTATTTTACTTTTTGTCAAATCACCAACCTTTTCCTAAAAATTCTGTCAACATATTCTCATAGCTCCTTTCAGAAAGATTTTGCGGCAAGTTACCCACGAATAAAGCCAAGTTGGGTCCATGAGGGTCTTGCTTTAACTGTAGATAGAACCGCATCAGTTCCATTTGCCTAATAGAATCTTTTCCCAGCTTCTTAACGATATCCCAAGGTCTTTCGTCCCAGGACAAAACTCTTTCCGTCACTGATATACATATAAAATTCTCCTTATATCTCATGCAATAACATATATACACTTAAAACACAGAATCATAAAAAATATTCGAATAACACAAATCGTAAACATCAAACTTAAATGTGAAAACGTACCTCCACGATCTAAAAGAATTTCACTGCACCTATAATCGTCGCAATTAAAATTTTGTAAACCAAACTTCTCGAGTGCCTCGTTTATTAAGTCCGCAACAGTTGTTGCTTCGGTGACAGGTACTATACAGAATGACTCTGATACCTGCAATTTGCCGGGATAAACTCGTACCTCTCCACTGTCATTATTTCTGAAATCACATTGTAATATTGTATCAAAATTCCTTTTTGCTTTTCATATAGATGTTATTCAATCGTCAGTATACATGCGTCACACTTCCACACCATATTATTTTTAAAAAAATACAATATAATAAAAGCGGGATTCTATATATTTTTCTATATATTTTTCAATTCAGATAAATGTAATGTAAACTTACTTAAATCGTAAGAACACAGCCGGACGTTTGCCTTCTTGGCGATTTAAATTTAAAACAGGCGTCGGGTCACATAATTCAGTTTCCTCCTCGGCATACAGGTCAGTTAAGTAAAAGGTACCTAAATTTTTCAAGAAAGGAGGGAAAAAATACATTAGTTCGATGAATAAACTTAACAAGAGATTCGTATGTTTACTATACAAATAAGATTTTTTGTATGCATACTAGGATCTTTCGTAATGTGAAATGCGCGCAGTGCCAATGTGAGAACTTGTTCTGTCGTAGCCTGCCTGGGTACCGGAATCACCCGAAATATTCGTCGCCTCAAGGAGCTGTTGCCGTCGTATACCTTAATCATTTCTGTAATGTAAAAAATAAAAATGAAAAAAAAATCAAGACAGCAGATTCACGGAGATTAGGGGCAAAAAAAAATCCCGAAACCGTTATAATCGAAAGATGTATTGAAATACCTTCGTCACCTCTTTCTTTGTCTTCTTTCTCTTTAGGAGAACGCGGATCACGGCCATGCGCTGCGCCTTGTGTCGGTTCTCCATTGTCACGATACCTCGCTCCGTCGCTAAATTCCTCTGATGTGCTTCGCGCTGTGAACACAGAAAAAAGGGTATTTCGAATGTTGGAAAATATATCTGGAATAACAAAAAATGTACGACCTAAATGAAACATACAATCTAAATGTATAATACATCTTCTTCCGCATTGTCTGAATTCTAACGCGAAAAATTTATTTCTTCATTACTCAGATAACATTAATGGTATTTTTTTCAAAAAAGCGTTATAATATATTTTATACGAAAAACATGAAATTTTTAATCATCCGATAAGTAAAACAATTTCATCTTTATATATATAAATATTATAATCATATATTTATTATTATCAATTATATTGAAAATTGCCAGCTTTCGATATACATATATTAGAGAGGAGAATATAAATCACAAATTTGTTGTATAAAAATATTCGCACTTGAATCAGGCACTTTAAGAAGACTAATGAATGAGAATTGAAAAGAAATTTATAAAACACAAAGAGCACAACATTGTATAATGACTCTGTTTATCATTCAAGAATAAATTACGCATTTCTTACCATCGATTATTTACGATGGGTTTGTAGAACACACACACGATAGGAAGAATTAGTCAGTAGTATTCTTGAACTTCATTTCACTGCATAGTAGAGTGATAAGCATCATGGAATCTCATAGCATCCAGTGGGCTGAATGACAGTGCATGCACTGAAGCGAGACATACATACATGCTAAAACGTAAACATTAACAAAATAACATCCATAAAAAAAGGTTGGTGCATCATGATATTTATGTAAATGCATGTCGCGTGACAACGTATTATATATATATATATATATATATATATATATATATATATATATATATATGTATGTATGTATATATATATATTTATTTATTATGCTTTGAGAAATATTTATCATTGTTTCCTACGTCTTAAGATTAAGTTTCTTGTATCATATAGCTCATCAACGTCATATTATTTGAATCAAAAGAAATTTACAAGATGGATAATAATCTTACTCTATAAGGAATCACCTATCGAAAAAATGCTCGCCCGATCTTTTACAAAATTACATACTTATTTCTTATATATAAACCATATTTATATAAGTTAAAACTGTGACAAGCACAAAATTAGAGTATACATTATTAGGTTTTATAGAGAGGCGTATAGAATGTGTATATATTCTTATATATACGTAGCAGTATAATGTCATTTGATATTAATGTCAAAAATATATGATAGAAGCAGAAAGCTAAATATCTGCATTGCTGTTAGGCAAACTTAAAAAAATGTATAAATAAATACGATCATGTTTTTAATATAGCACTTTCTCTCAATCGCAAATGTTAAGTGATTACACGTAAAGAGAGCTAATAATAGCGACAGAGCACTACAGCATATAAATTTCAATTTACTCTCCAATCTTGTACGATAGGTACATTTTAGAATTGAGTACATTCACACAGATGAATGTCTGAGGATGATAATATTCTAGATACCTCGAACATAAGGAGGGGAAGCATGACAATTTCCATGGCAGCTACGTGGCAAAACTAGCGAAAGGCGCCTCAAAGCTTCGGCTAGGCGGCCTGCAGCCCCATTTTGCTCACTCTCAGCGAAATCGAATTGCTCTCCGATGTTATCTTCACATAGAAGCAAAGGTAGACCGAATATTTTAATCGGTTACCACAACTTTTCAACTTTACAAAATTTCTCTTTCTCCTCTTAGATACGTTTATAACTATTACAAAACTATTGTGTGTTTTTTTTTCGCACTATCAAATTTACTTATCATTACGTTAGGCGTAGACGAAACAGGCGTTTTCTGCTTTCTATGATGTCGAATAACAGACTTCTAATTAAAAAAATCAAATAAAATGTCACTACTTTCAGCTTCTTTTGTATTTTTCTCGTAAAGATGTAATTATTCAGTAAATGCCAATATTTTTCTCTAATCAACGTTAATCTAATTACGAAGCTCTAGAAAAAAAAGATGCTGTGTCAAAATATTTGACGCCTATTAAAAGCACATTGAAATTAGCGATCAATAAGAGCAATCAGCCACAAAAGCCATATAGTTTACGAATATTATAAACAGAATACGCGTAATTAAAACAGATGTAGCTTCAATGTTGAGAAGACTATGATTTCAGTACAATTAACAATTTATTTTTACGCAGCTTAAGATTCACATAGAGTGTATACGTATATAATCATCTAGACTCTCTAGACCTATACAATGGACAAATTTACAACTCTTCAGCTGCTGTGATAATGATGATACGCGATGATAACACAATTTTTACAACAAATTCTCACGTGATAATATTTGATGATACAAATAGTTGAATATAGAATTGTGAATGTTGTAATGATTATAGGTAGCACAATCACACATTTTATATATAACCCAAAAGTTTATTTCTAATGATTCTGTATCCAGCACAGATTGAGTTTAAGGCATGTCAACGATACGCAAAGATTGTTGTTAGATCACAAAAGTACATTTTGTAAGAAATTATTTTATTTAATTTTTAATTTATTCTTTGAAAAATGTTTGAAAAGCTGAGAGTGCAAGAAACTGCAAGTAGCAAATATGTAAAAGTACACATATATTTATATATATGTGAAATATTGGAAATATATTAAATCAATGATAAATTTTGATTAATAATATTTCATGTAAATAAACATTTTGCAATTTATGATTAAACGAAACAATATGAAAGTTTGAGGCGATAATCCTTTAGAATACAGATAGGGTCTTTCTCGTTTCACATATCGAAGAAAGTCAACGCGCGTTGCATGCTCTGAAAAGAAGGAAGAACAGATATATGTTTACAAACCGACGGTATTTATACACGCGTATATGTGTGAGTGAGTGCTAAAATAAAACTCATGCAAAAAATTTATGTTCCAAAAATTGGTTGAATATTATCTTTACAAGAATATACTTCTACGAATGTATATATATGTATATATATATATATATATATATATATATATATATATATTTTGTTATACATTCCCTTTTAAACTTTAATATATAAATGTACAATATATTTTGCTACCAATCATTGGTGCATATTTGCATACATGTACAGGTGCTATGCATAGTAAAATAGATATAAAATCTCATAACATGTATGACTTACACAGGTGTGAAAATAATAGATTGTGTCAATAGGTAATACCGAAATGCAAGAATGAGATTGATTGAAGAAACTTTTATAAAGCGCTAATCGACAATGAAACTCAGTGCAACGGTGAAGAGAAAGATAGAAAGAACGCGATAATTAACGTGTAAAATACTCAATTAAAACGGACATTTTGCTCTCATATATTTGCCATTATGTGTTATCTGAGTTTGATACATCGATATTATTCATGGAGATATAAATCTTTCTGGTAATTCAAGAAAATAATATATATTTAATGTGACATATACACACAAAACTATAATTATGCTATATATCTAGATAAATGCGTGCATTGGTAATTATCAATGTAAAACATGTGTTTTCTTTTTCTTTATCGTACAAATTACAGATACAATTTCATTTATGTCAGTATTGACATTTTTATACGCGACTATATGTTAATAAATCTGTTTTATTAGAAGAGATTTCGTTTTATAACTTCTTTTTATCTCTTTTTAAAAAGAATATTCTGTTTTAATGTCCAAATTATATTTCCGGTGGGACCGATTAATAAAATATCAACGAGCCTTTGCGGCACAAATTTTGTGATAAAATGCAATTCCTCATTCCATTTATTCTAATTACCTGTTAACACGCACACCGCGTATTTACACGATAGACACTTACGGCAAGAATACTCACGGGTCGAGACTTCTTTACGACGCACTTGTACTCCAATGATGGCTTCCATGGGAACTTCGGTACGCGGAATACTAACTGCATGTGGTGGCAGGTAAATTGGTTCCAAGTTACCAAAGGTGCATTCTTGGGGGATATTCTTGTAACAATACGCGTGCGACTAAGAGACGAAATTAAAATTTATTATTAAATGTTTATACATTAAGAGGAGATGAAATTTAAAGTCATGCTAACGGAATATTTCTATTTAATTCAAGAATATACTTTCGTGTATTTCACTTTAAAAATTATGTGTAAAATTGGCATACAGCAACGTTTCATTCTATATTAATTCCGTTAACGAAACAAAAGTAATATATAAATCCGTTTTTTACCGTCATGCCGCACCACTCGCAACGAAACCCGGCAAGGCACTCGACAGTAAAACAACTCTTCTTGCATACGGCGCATTTCGAGCTGCTTGGAAGATTGCCTTCTCGCCAGTGATGAGTGTGTTTCACTGCTGATAGGTCCTTCCCAGGCAAGTACGTGGCATTCTCCTTGCAGTCTGCCACCGCGAAGTCTTGGCATTCTATGTGCACGAAGTACTCGCATACTAGCAACAAACAAGGGTATCTTTTTAGAGAGTCTTCTTCATATAAATTTACAAAGATGACACTTATTAGCTAATACAAGGATTCAAAATTTCACACCCTGGGCATGTTTCAACTCACTTTCGCAGTGTATGGATGGATTATTATCATCCAAACGTTTCCGACAAACGTTGCAAAATTTTCTTTTGTGATGTACTTGTTCGGACCAACAGTGTGCAACCGGGTTCTGCAATATAATAAAGAAACACTCTTAATTTTATATTACGTATATTATCATGACAGAGATATAAGACAGAGAGATCAAATTTATACTAATTATTTTTACTGCAATGTTTTAATTATTTCGTGATATCTCTGGAGAAAAAGATTGCCTTTTTATTGCCACATAAATGAAACAAAATCGGTAAATATAGATGTTATATTTTTATGCATATAGGCGGTTAATCGTGCGATGTAGCGGAGATTGATTATTATCCTACCTTAATCAGGCTTGCCGCGATGCTGGAGCAGGGAGAGACGACGGCCTTGAGACAGCGGTCGTGCACCACGAAGTTACACACTGTAATAGAAAAAGAATTTTAGAAAAAAAAGCAGAGACATATATACAGAAAATTAATTTGCTATTCAATTATCGAACAAAGGATTTACAGACTAATTGTAAGCGATACTGGACCATGTCAATAGGAGCCACTCATGTCGTAATTTGTAACGAGATCTTCTGACCTTTCACAATGTAAAACGTCGAGAATCAAACACGGCTTCTTAGTTACAAATTTTGACATTTTATTTAATATTTTTATTCGTTAATTGCGATTCGCATATATGGGTCATAAATATTTATCAAATCTTTCGCGTAGCCTCTATTACACCTGTTTAATAAAAAGTAATGGGTTTCAATCTTTATGGTATTCTTATCATCTGCATATTCTTTTGGAAAAGTGACATATATATATATTTTTTTCCTTTCAGAAAATATTTGACAGCTTCTCGATCTCTAAAGATTATTTATAAATTTAAAGGAATAATAATGATATTAATATTGAGAAATGACAAAAATAATTGTGATACGATTAAAACACCATGATTTGCATATCATTATCCGTTAAAAGGACGCAGGCAAGTGACGTGACAAGTGTCGTATTCTTCGCGCGAGCGGTAATGATCGAGTTCTATCGCGCTCTTGCAAACGCTAATCAGGCAAGATGTGGGAAATTTGTCGCATCGACGCGCAGGTGCGGCCCGAAATAGTACTGTGCATCCGCTTCGTTAAGAAGGCGCCATCAGCCACCATCGACGATCGACCACGAATACCGGGTTAACTTTAACTCTTCGAGTGGGTAGTTTAAATCGGAAAGGATCGTATTCGTTATGGTCGTGAAAAAAAAAAAAAAAGAAATTCGTTTATCCATGTTCATTTAATTTCTTTCCACGTCTTCTTCAACCATGAAGAGGCATGAAGTATCAAGAAGCTCTCTTTCTATATAATAAATGTCAAGGCACTTATGACGCTTACGATTTTATCAAGTCCAGGTGGATTTGTATAAACACACGTACAGAAAAAATCGGTATCAATCGAGTATCTAATATAAAGAACACGGTAACATGGAATTTTTTTCATCAAACGATTAGTCTTTTAATATATGCATACATATTCAACCGCGAGCTTTATCACGGTTGCTCTTTATCTTCCTTTTTTTTCGAGAAAACATATATTATCTTGTTCTAAATGCGAAAAATCAGAGATAAAAGAAGTCTATTGCTTGCAAGTCTATCAATGTTGTCAATTTTATCTAAGATCGCAGATTTGAGAATAGCAAAAGTAAGGCTAAAGATAATAAGAAATGCACTAGATAAGCATGCTTTAAATCGCGTTTGATCTCGGGAAGAAAGATGAATCTATACATTGTATCAATCTGTCGACAATCACGTGTATCTCAAGTGTACACGTGTATTTTCATTCCAACATTAAGGGCCGGTTGTTCTAACTTCTTAGTAAGTTTTATACCTACCTGACAGATAGCATATCTTTGTCTCTTTTTTAGAACTTATCTGAAAAGAGACGAAAATAGCTACCTTTCGGATAAAACTTACCAAGAAGTTGGAAAACTCAGCCTCAACATATTATTTTCGAATTCCTCTATATATATATATGTATATATATTTTTTGAATCTAATTTTGATTGTCGTATTTGTAATAATTCTGATTGTAGTATATAACATAACAAATCAACCAATTGCTTCAGCCAAAACGGTGTGATATTGTTAAATAATTTTGAAGAGTACGAAAAATATCACAATAATTTTATAGAGTGATCTCATCTATTATATTATTAATTGTCTATGCTGCAATCTTGTTCTCTTCAGTTTGCATATTATGTGTATGTATAAGAGGAATACAAAAATCCAAATGTAATACACATTCATCTGTGTTGCAAAATATTTCCTCAGTCGAGATATTTTTCTATCGCGCGATAAACACAATCTAAAACAATACGATGAAATTATAACATGACACTTTAAACTCTCGTGTCTAAAATCAATTGTGTACATAACTCCTAATGGTTACGTTCGATCCTTTTTAATAATGGCACACCACTCGCTGTAATTTCGCAATAAATTTTTGTTGTTTCAGAGAAAAGCAGAAAAAAAGGATATGTGAACTTTGTACGAATAACGAAAAAAACCTATTTTGAAGAATGTGTTATCTGGTAAATATAAAATATTTATGTGCATTATATATAAAAAAGAATACCAAGCAATTAAACTATTCAAAAATTTTGCAAAAAAATATGAAAAATAATTTGTGTAATAAATAAAAAAATCGAATATCCTTCTCCGAATGTGTGACTAAACTTATTTCTTTATTTTTTTTATTCTCAGATTTGTGTAAATTATATTTATCAGTGCAGTTCTAGGCTATAACTATAAGATCAACTTTTGACTGCAATATTATAATAACAATTGCGTTTATTGTTAATTAGATCACTCATATATTGCTTCGTATCCTTCTCTATTTATGTAAAATGTTATGGAAAATCTAATTAAAAAATGATAAAAAAATATTGACAAGAATAAATAAACTAAATAATTAGTTATTACTTAGTCTGTTCAGTGTGATAATAGTAAATTGTTGTTTGTTCAGTATGATAATAGTAAATTCAAATGTATACAGGCTATTCTCGAGTCGTATGTGACAGTGGACACTATTGTTTACAAAGACATTCATCTGACATTTGTGTTTCATAGAAAAAGAGAGAGAGAGAGAGAGAGAGAGAGAGAGAGATATGTCTATTCATAAATATTTTCGCTCTTGAAAATTTATCATTTTCCAAGTTTTACATATAATTAGATATATTATTCTCGATGTTTCAAAATAATAAATAAATATAATTAAAGTGATCATGTTTTTTAATCGTTAATGCAAATATGTCACATTTAATCTATAAAAATAAATATTATATTATTTATAATCATCATCAGCATTATAGTTTCTACTACCCACTTACATAACAATAATAAAGCATTAACTGATGTGTAAGATATTAAAAAATTACTATTGCATGTGATGTCGTACGCGATTACTGCGCATGATATCGCAAGAGATTTAGAGAAGATTTAATTACAATCTTCATGTTAAGTACACTTTTTACGTTTTAAACAGATTTGTGTCACGTTTGTCATTTATTACCTTTACTATGACATATCGTTTTAAAAAGTCGCGCAAGTGGAAAATTTATATAAGAAATTATTTATTCATGTTAATTGTAGGCTAGCTATAAAATTGCGCAACACAGAACATAGATTAACAATTTGTGTGAATCGGAATGTCACGAATATACTAATTGTAAGTATAATATGTGAACGTGTCAAGACTCTTTTTGTATATGAAATATGTAATACTGGTAAACATTAAATTAAATTAAAATTAAATAATAAATGAAGCAGTGTTGAGAATAGTTAAAAAGTTGTTGCAAAATTCTACAAAAGTACAAAGTTAAAAAAAAATTGTAAATTTTGTTAGCACAAGAAAATTGTAAGTGCTCCAATCATTATATAAACACAGACATAAATTGTGAAATATTTAATAGATTGATGTTCTATTTATAAAAAAAGCACATCCAAATATTCATATCAGAATATTGTTCAATGTATGCAATAAAATAATATTAAAGCAAATAGGATACAATGAATTATTCGAGAAGCGTCAAATCTTAAACGTGGGATGAAGAAAAAATAAGCATGAGCATTAAGTTGTGTTTCGACAAAGTTTATAAAGAATTATTAGAATTCTATCCCGTAGATTGAATTTAAACTTACAAAATATTAAGTATAATTTGCAGACATAAAAACAACAACTTTATTTAAAGCAACCGACAGCAAAGCGATCAATACATTGTAGCAAGGTTTAACAATGGCTTTAGAGATATAACGCTTTATCTTTCACTACTGTAAAATTAATAGCATTGTATTTCTAAAATTTTGATGATGGATAGATCTCTGGCTTTTCCAAAACATTTCAGAGAATATCTCTCAAAGAGAATTTTGATTAGAAATAATAATAGTCTGATTACTGATGTCTAAATACATGGATAGCCAATTTTACGTATTGTACAATAAAATTGCAAATTTCCTTTCAGTAGTGATAAATTTTTAGTAAGAGTGTAGATTTTTCGAAAAAATATTTTCTTTTCAATTGCAGTTTTAATGGCACTCTGTGAAAGTTCCATAAAAAATATCGATTCAAATCTCGGATCCGATTATGAGATGAAAAAGTGATTCCCATAACAAGAATGTAAAGTTAATATTCAATCGCGCATCTTTTCGAGTTCTAATTTCTTATAATTCAATTGGCAAAATTTCTTGAAATTAAATTAATCGTGGTATTTAAGATTCCATTCGCGTAATTTAAAAAATGCGTGAGAGGTACGTTTGTAATTAACACGTTGACCTTCAAACGCATAATGTCCAAATATTCGAAATAAAAAAGCCTAACATCTTTTTTTTTTTTTTTTAAATAAAGCAGCGATAGATAGCTTTACCGATCACTTTGTACGACTTTTTACGAGCCGCACTTATATAAGCAGCGCGGTTAAACATTTTTTCCTCCCCATAATGTTTCCCACTTTTTTGTGACTATAAAGGCCATCAGTTTCTAACGAATATTTTTACTCTTATTACGTTATCTTTTTCCTCCCTTTTTTCAGACGCTAAAAATACATCTAACGCGCGCACACACTTGTATACATTTGACGTACGTACATATATATTTTATAGATTTTATGTATCATATACGCGTCCCTGCAATTAAATTTATCTTTCAGGTAAGAGAGACAAAATGATTTCCCTCCCTTTCCAACCCTTCCCCCTGAATGACGCTCGATACATCTAAGGCAGTCCTCTTCATCGAACATTCCGAAAGAGTCCGACAGCTCGGACACACAAGGCTCGTTTCTGCTCGCGTTACAACGAAGGTCCTTTACGCCTCTTTACCCGTCAGAGCGGAGCTCTCTCTCTCTTTCACCCCCACCTCGGGGCAACCCTCTTTGCCGCCGGTGCCGCCGAGCGGCCCTCGGAACCCTTTCCTCCGGCAACCTTATCCATGGTCTTTCAGAGCCATCCTACCCCACCTCTCGCGATCGATGCTCGTGAAAGGTGGGCGCGCGTTCGCGCTCGCGCCCTCTGCGATCTGCGTACGCCGTCGTCAGCCCCTTCCACCCTCACGACCCCCTTTCCAGGTTCCTCTTTCCATGTTTTTCTCGACACAAATCTCTCTCTCTCTCTCTCTGCGAAGCCATCTGTCTCTCCGTTGCTCCGATTCGCGGCTGGCGCGTGTTCGCGCGACGAGAGGCGCTAAAATGCGAGGAGAACTCTGTCGGGAGAACGCGACACCCTGACCCGGATTGAACAAAGCCGCCCGCGGATCTGTCATTCAACATTCGGGACTCGCGCCACGGGAGATCCATCCCTAGGAGGAATCTTCCTGGTATCTTTCCGAGCGCGCGGGTTCCCGCTATCGATCGACCCTCGCCTCGTTTTTTTTCGAAAGCGCTCGCTTGAAACTTTTCAAGGTGTCGACGAGGATCTCCTTTTTTTATTCCCTCTCTCTCTCTCTCTCTAAATCCGATTAGACGAAGAGCCCTCGTTTTCCCGCTTAAAAGAGACGGACCTCCGGAAAATCGGAGCTCTCTCTCTCTCTCTTTCTCTTGGGATTGCGCAAGTATTTCCGGAGCATGTTCGCCCTTCGGAGCTGTGCGCATCCTCCGGAGATTGAGAGAGATGCGTGCTCTTTCTAATCTCGCCTTTGGCATTTCTTATTTACACGTAGAACTATAAGCTAAGCGCGTCGTTCCTGGTTTGTACAATATAAAAATGTAGCGTCCCGTATCTAGCATAACAAATAAAGACTCCTCTCCCTCCTTGTTGTAAAACGGAACGGCTCTCGAGGAACATTGGGAAGGTAAAGGCTCACCTTCGCAGATGTACCCCTGCTGTATGAGGCCCCAGAGCATGTCCGTGCAGCTATGGCAGTACGTCGGCTTGTGAAACGTCTTCTTACTGAAGCTGTGCCCATGGCTGGCTGGAGTCTCGGCCGAGACCGACGCCATATTCCCCGTTCCACCGCGGAACCGTTCACGCCAGATTTTCACCGTGAAGCTACGCAGGGCGCGCCGCGCGACGATGACAACAACATAATTACACGCCCGACACTACGTGATCTCGGAACCGTACATAATTGCGCTGCTGCAGCTGCAATGATGATGGTGGTGGTGGTGGTGATGATGATGATGATGATGGTAGTAGCGGCGGTGGTGGCGGTGGTGGTGGTGGTAGTAGTAGTATCGGTGGTAGTGGTAGTAGTAGTAATCGTCCTCGTCGTAGCTGGCCGCAGCACCTGGTCGCGGACCCGGACCCACCGTCGTCCCGTCCTCGTGGCCTCGTCGTCGCGCTAGCGTCGTCCTCGTCGTCGTGCCTAATTACACGCATTATTCCACGAACGGCACCTCGGCCTCGGGACGAGCGACGCGCCGGCAGCCACGATCGCACCGGATGCCAGATGCGTCGTCGCCAATCGTCTACCGCCGATCGGAGCCGAGATCTCGCGGCCGCCGCCGAGCATCACCGTCGTCTTCGTCGTCGTCGTCGCTCTTGCTCGAGCTCTCGCTGCTGTCCCTGATTCTCTGCCTCTTGCTCGAGCTCTTGTCGCTGTTTCTGTCGCTGTTTCTGTCGCCGCTGGTACTGATGCCGCTGTCGAGGGTCTCGCTCGCCTAGTTCGCGGTACGACGCCGATGCGTGCGATGTCGCGTTCGCGCATCCGACGAGTCGTCGCCGCCGCCGCCGCTGCTGCTGCTGCTGCTGCTGCTGCCGATACGAGCGAACACCGCCGAGTGGCCGCACTGACATCAGCCCCTTTTCGTCACCGCCACCGGCCAGTGGCGGATGCGCTGCCCTAGCGGCCTAAGTGGGGCGTCATATGGGGGCCGAGTGATCCGAGCCGCCCTCTTCCGAGCGCGAAGAAGCTGTCAAGGGCGTACTCTCTTTCTCTCTCTCTCCTCTTCTCTCTCTCTCTCTCTGTGCCGATTATATTCTCTCTATAAACATAAATCACACAAGGGAAAGTAGGCCGCTTTCATGATTAACGAAGTGCACTCGCGAAATAAAATGTTTACTTTACTGTAAGGAACGGGGCAGAGTCTAGTTCTCCAGCACTGACGATGACGACGGCGAGGGCGACGGAAACGGCGCGCGCGTTTCTCCTCTCGATGCTCCAAAAAGTCTCTTCCTCGCGTCTCTAATTTTCAACGTCTATTTCCGACACCTCTATCCTTCTCTCTCTCTCTCTCTCTCGCTCGTATATTTCGTCGGCTCGAGCCAAAGTCCAAACGTTCGACGCGTCGCTTCAAACAACGATGACGTCCTCGTCGAGAGGTGCACAAGATCGACAACTTCGCGCGGCTCCAATTTTCCCTCTACAGGACGGACGAAGCCAAACGTTCTCGTCTCGTCGATTCCATCGGCGCGCTCGCGAACGATCGATCCTCGTCTCCTCGATTACGATATCCTCGCGCGATGACGAGGGCGCGCATATATATATATATATATATATAGGTATATATATATATATATATATATACGTATATATACACGTATATTAACGCGTTATTGTTACCGTTTCACGCGCCATCCTCACGTATACACGTAATATGTATGTACACGTACGTATGCGAGCGCGTATGCATTCGCAATCGCCGATTAGCCCCGTTAATCGAAATTAACGCACGCGATCGGGACCGATGCCCGACGTCGACGACAGTACGACGACGGCGATGGCGTCGACGTCAGTGGCGGAGAGTGGAGCCGACGTCGCTCTCTCGTTCTCCTTCCGCCTCGACGCGCCGACGCGTTCGAGACTTTGAGTTCGAATGCCGCCACTCGGTGGACTAGCTCCGCGGATCCACTTTTGCGTCGAATCACCTCGTAGTCCCGCGTAGTCCCGCGATCGCACAATGACGGTACGATCGGCCTCCAAGATTCTTTTTTTTATCTCTTCCTTCCGGGACGTTTGGGATGAAACTACTCCGACGATGCACCTGCCTGCGACCTGCAATTAGCGTTGACTTGCACATTTATTTATGCGTCATGAGTATCCGTAAGGGGAGGCTAGGGGCCATTTGCCTCCCTTTGAAATCAGTTAAAAATTAAGCATTTTTTGCATAAACGCTGGAATTCACTTGCATATATTATTTAATATAAAAAAGAAAAATAAGAAAATTCAGAAAGGACAAAATAAAAAAGTCTTAATTATGCCTCCTCCTTGAAAAATCCTGCGTGCGATATCTTTATTTTTCTTATGCATCTCGCGATGCATTTCATTGTATCGCGCTCGAGGGGATGCAGTCTCGGAACGCTGGAAATAATAATAATAATAATAATAATAATAATAATAATAATAATAATAAATAATAATAATAATAATAATAATAATAATAATAATAACGCGAGATCCTGGTGACGACTCTTGAATCTTACAATTTACAATCTCGTTTCTTATCCTTAAAAGCGAGTTGCGCGAGAGAATTCTTCACCGATCCCTCGTCGCTTCCGATCTTTCTTACCGCGGATAAATCGTAAATAAAACGTAGGTATACGTGCATGCCGCGCGATACAGAAAGCGAGAAGCGTTCCATTTAATCGTCGTCGTCCTCCTCTCGATAATGGATGCTGCCTATTATCGTCGCGACGCCCGTCGTCGGCATTGTACGTACAATACATGGGCGCGCATTCGTGATACACGTCCGGGATATGCGATTGCATATATACGGTCGTGTTACAATGCGAATCGGGGAGTTGCGGCGGACGCGGGATTTTTCAATAACGGAAACACACACGCGAGCGAGCGAGAGAGAGAGAGAAAGAGGATAAGTGGGGAGTGGCACGCATTTTCACATCCCTGTCACGTCCGTTGTATTCATTAAACCGTCTGCCGCACATGGCTACATTGATGGACATTATGAAGTTATATCTCGCCGCGCGCGGTTCTATTGTGCGATCGAACGTGAATGAAACGGGGTTTAAATTTCAATAACTGTGCGCGCGCGGGAACGGGGATGCAAGCTAAATGTGTGCATCGACTGTGTGTATTCTCTCTGTTATTATAAACTATACCGTTGTAATCGTGCGCACGCATCTAAATTATACGCGCGACGCGCGTGTTAGAAACGTATCATTAATTTCGACGACGTCGTTTTGGCGCTTTAGAGCGGAAATTTGAGCGATCTCGTTGAGAGTTCCGGGCCGCTCTTCTTCTCTTTTCGCCTTTCGATTCCGCTGTGAGGATTTTGTAAAAAAAAATAAAATAAAGAGCGCCTCCTCTCTTCGATATTATAATGTGTAATTAAATGTAATTAAACACGCGTCATAATCGTTTTAACAAACGTGTTACAAAACCAGGATGATGATAAGATTTTAAGGCTCTTGGCTCCTCACCGATCATGTTGAAATTGTGACGTCAGAGGCGAGAAAACACAGTCTGTTGATCGATTATAAAAGGAAGAAGGATATATAATTTTCGAGGTATTTTAAAAGTGTGCTTAAAAAAATCTAAAGTCCTGTTTCATCGAAATATCTTTTCATTTCGAAGTGGCATCTAAGAATTTTCGCCTCTGACGTCACAATCTGACATCGCCGCGGCGAGAATTCAGGAGCCTTAAATCTCCTAATTGAGATTTTTTACAATATTTTTCTTCTCTTGCTGTCAAAAATTATCGCTTTTCCAAAAAAAAAAATCGTGCATTTTATTTAAGAAGACGTTCTTATTTAATTAATACGTCGTCTGTGTGTTTTTACAGATTTTATTTTTTGGACGGAGCACAAAGCATCGTCTTTTGTGTCAATGCAACATTTCGCCTTAACATAATACATATTTCACATTCTTAACATCGATAAAGTCTTATAGTCTACAGTCCTGTTTGTTTCATCAAACATCGGTATCCAGAGATGCGGAGCAACAAAGATAACTTATTAACTATTTTTGATTCGCTTCCGATAAAATATGTACACGTTGTTCATATAATGTTGCTATATAGTGTTGCTTCATATAATTCAAAAGCTTAAATGCAATCGAATGTGACATTCACGATTGTATTACGCAGATTAATTATGTAATTACAAAGTGCAAGGATAAATGTTACGTTCCCTTGTTAATTGATCTAATGAGCATCTATTAGATTGTTGCATAAGTATACTTTGATTATTACATAACGAAAAATGAAAGATGCAATGTAAAATGGAGTTAAATTAGAGAATTATCCTATTTAACTGTGTTGCCGCGAATTAAGTGTTTTATCTCACTGTTTACATCAACATGTGTATATATATGTATATATATATATATATATGCGTGTGTGTGTGTGTATATATATATATATATATATATATATAAGTACATCCCGCTCAATCAAGTTGTAACAGATGAATACAATACATCTCAAAGTATTTTTTATATCATGTAACAATATTATATTCTTCTCTCTCTCTCTTTTTCTCTGTTTTCAAATTTTATTAATTTTTACGTTATAATAACAAAAGTTATTTAAATATATAGAGAGAGTGACTGAATAAAAAAAATATCACTTTTGATATTTAAAAAGAAATAATTACGTTTAATTAATAACATATTAAATGAGGACTTATTTAAATATTTCAAATAAACTGTTTTACTTTTTTGGCGGGATTTAAATTAAATTAGATTATATTTGTTTTTCGATATGTATAGGATATTTATGTGTATATATAAATATATATATATATATATATATATATGTGTATATATATGTATATAATAACGTATAAATATTACACAGGCGAATATTTAGGAATATGCTTAACTTATTGTCTGATCTTTAATATGAAAAGTACTTTGAACGCACAAGTCGAGATCTTCAATTTATACATATCAGTATACTTTAATTGCACATTTTACAACAGTGCAAACATTTATGCTATAAAATATTTCGATTAATTTCAACAACTGCATATTGGATACAGAAATCGATAACTCTTACATCTTGTTATACGTATGCAAGCTTCAAGCTTCATAAAAATATATGATAAAATGTAACTTTTTAATAAGAATATAAGAAAGGATATATATATAATCATTGCATTAAAATTTTCTAATTAACTACTGTCACAAGTAACTGAATCTAATTGAAGTTTAACTTGTGTTAATTAGTTTAACTCGCTGTGTATACGATATAATATAATTAGATTAAAATAAATGCTAAAATAATAAAATATTCTTTAACTCTTAACTATGTTCGTGACGCAAAAAATCATATATACTATCGTGTGAAATCAAAGAATCATACATAAAATTATTCATCGTAACAAAATAATAAATACAGCATCTTTAAAAATATAAATATAAATATATATATATATATATATATATATATATAATTATTAAATCACAGATTTTTTAATATATTTTATGAAATTATACAATAAAATAAACTAAAATATTTTTGTTACTAATGATAAAATATGAGACAATATAGTATGATGGATTCAAGATATTATTCGACTGTACAAAAGTTTTTACGAAACTAAAATAGAAACAAGTGCAAATTTTCTGACAGGACAGAAATTCATAATCGGTAAAGAAAAAGAAGCAAGAAAAAAATACATTTTTGCGAGTAAAATGAGATCTTTCCTCAAATTTGATTTCTCTAAAAAAGGATCTCTCTAAATCAAAATTATTTTGATCGATCGTGTCTTGATCTTTTACGAATAATGGATTTTATATAAATGTACGTTAAACTTACATAAGATTCCACTGTACATAGTTAAGAGTTAAATAAAATATGTAGCTACATTATTATCATGTTTTTAAAAATATTAATACTTTCTAACAATCTTGGACCAATCAGAAAAAAAAACAAGATTCGATAGCAGACATGCAGTCTTTGATTTTTTAGCAGAATTTTGAGAAATTTAATTAGATCTGATAAATTTAATTTTTAAATCGATAACCTTTATACAATTGCTGCTGAATGATTCCATTCGTTCAACAAACGTTTAGAAAAATAACTTAGCAATTATATCAAAATACGGTATTAAAAAATATGTCGCATGGTAAATTGACACAGATGAATGCATAATACAAAATTAAGATAAGTTAAATTGAAATAATATCTCTAAATCAGTATACAGAGAGAAATTTACTTAGTTTGCGCTAAATTGCAACTAATGTAATTTATGACAATTAAAATGGTTAATCAACTATTTTAATTCTATTTTCGTGACATTTTAATCTTTTAATCTATTTCAAGACCACTCACGCCTGACAAATTTCAACATTCACTAATGAAGAGCCTTTATCATTATTAAAGAATACATGTGCTAACTATCGATACTCCCATCTTTCTCTCTGTCACAGTCTACTTTTTTAATTTAAACTAGAATATATCCTTATAATTATAGATTATATATCTGGTTCTTTTTTCTAATATTGGTTAAAAACGTGCAGATACTCTTATTGTGACATATTTATATTTCGAATTCTAGGAAGCATTCGGAATTTCATGAACGATATATTATGTAATACAGAATATACGATATTTGATTAACAACACATTACATCTCGTAAGAAGAGTGATTGTGTATAAATAAATTATATCTCAAAAACACTCGATATGAAAATGCCATATTTTATGTAATAATATGTAATTTTATCTCTCCATAACATTTCGTATCATTATATAAAATTTTCATAAAAAATTATCTTCTGTTACAAGAAGAAAAACGAATCAGATATAAAGAAAGAAAATTGACGTTATTATACTGAGATAAAAGATTCGTTTTTTTTCAAATAGAGCTTATTTCAAAGATTTTCAAACTGTACACAATTATGTAATGTTGGCTTTAAAGAAAATGTGCAGAATAAAAGATAAAAAATGAACAAAGAGTAAATGACAAATTTGTGTTTACAATGAAACACGTACAATCATATCTGCTATTCTACCTAATTAATAATTCGACAAAATTATATAAATGTAACTGACCCTAAATGCTTCAACAATTCACAATACTTAAAATTAAAGAAATTTCTAACTAAAAAAATATTAAAACCTCTCCGATTTATATTGCTGACATGATTATTAAAATAATAAACATGATAATTGTATAAGTGTATCTGCACGCAAAATATATATATATATATATATAGCTTTTTCTAAAATGTAAATTGCATGATGTGAAATGGAATAAAACATAATAGTGGGAATGTGTAAACTTACGACGAGATATGCGCCAAAGTATCGTTTTAAAGAATATTATCCCAATCCGTGATCCTCGAAAAAACCCTGAGGAGTCTCCTCCTGTAACATATACAAGGAAATAAGTTCATCGACATCACGCTCGAAAAGTCTCTAACAATAATATGAACAGGGATCAATTACTTTGACGCTGCACTTTATAAACACATTACGAAAAAAGATAGAATGAGGATATATATTATATATATATATATAAACATACACGTACCTACTGCATAATAAAATTCTCTTCTTGATGCAGCTTCAAATGGTGAACTGAACCCTTTTCATATAACCAAGTGACTTTATTCGCGTGGTCACACAAAGCGCATGTTTATTTTTTGCCACGATTAAAATCTTAAAGCGCCAATAAAAAATTGCCTATTTTACATGCAATGTATCGAATTGCGGTGCGTCCTCCACGCAAGAGGGAACAAGGATGGATGCAATATTCAATTCATTATGCTTACATTACGCGAGACAGCCTTGTAAAACAAGATATTCAGCCCGAAAAAAGCTAACGAAAAATTCATTTCGGGAATATTCATCCCACGTTATATATCGGTTACTATTTCTTAATCAATTAACTTCAAGGATGAATTTGAGATGCCTGAGTCGAGTGTGTTATCTCCACGTGAGATTTATATGTTGGTTTAACTGATAACATAGACTAATAACAGACAAGGTGTTGTATACGCGCTCGTGTTCAATTACAATGTAAAAATTTCATTCGATATATTTATTACTAGACTTACACTTAATGTATAATTAATAGATTATACATTAATAGATTAAAAATTGACGATGCTTAATATATAATATGGGCGTATATACATATATATAATAAAGTGTATAAAGATAAGTTTCGAATTACTTGTAATAATTAAAATAGTGTTTTTGTTTAAGTAGATAGATAGAGAGATACGTAAGAAATATATATATATATTCTATATGTAATAATCGGCTAAATACCGACGCACTCTTCAGTATAGCACATGTGTACAATGCTTTCATAAAAATAACTTACAAATACAGAATAATTTTATTGCCACAGTTGAGGATTAAAGTACGTTGGGGTAACTGTCGTCGCTTACTTGTCAAGATGTACGTTAAAAGTTACGATCAAGAACTGTAGTTCAGCCTTTGATTAGTAACATAATATTTTCTTTCATACATAAGAGACGACTTTTTCGATATAAAAATATATTAACATATACAGAGAATGCTCCAAGTATCGTGCACATTTTCTCTCGATTGTAAGCTAATAAATTAACTTATTATATAAGAGAAGTATATTTGTTTCCAGTAATAAATTTTTGAATCATAAATAGATTTCTCGCATTTTTAAATGTACCTTTTTTAATAAATTCTCAAGTTTCTAAATAGATGAATACCTTATATTTTATTTTCTTTAAATATATATATGTTTTTATCAGAAACAAAGTTTCAAGTACCACGATATTTTATATTGACAATCGTGGCTTTCAAATAAGAAATTTGTTTTCAATTTCTCTTTATCAATCTTCAAATCAAATTTTTATCACGCAGAAAGATGGACTTATTGTTAAAGAACTTATAGCCGAAAGAAAATGCACGATGCCTTAAACGTCCTGCATATGACTAGTATAAAGTTGACTTGAAATTGCATGTATTTATATAGTAGAGTCGTAATGGCATCATGCAGCGGATAAGCCTTTTCTGGTTTTTCGGTCGATCGTGTGGGTCGATACTTTGTCCGTGAAGCTCATGCAAACAATAGGGTACCTATAAAAGCCCTATCTCCCGCAGAGCACCTTCCACAGCTTCGTCCTTCCACAACAAACAAAGAAAAACTAACTAGTCTTTCGCTAAATTTCTACTTTGTCCCTATTTACCATGGATTTAACATATATAATACTATGCAATATTATATTATATATACAAACATTTAAATAGTTGTAGAGTATATATATTTAAACCATATATTCTCAATCACATATTCATGTACAATCACAAAATGCTCTCTCTCTCTCTCTCTTTCTCTCTATACACACACAAGAGTCTCATAATATTCTCTCTATAAGAAATGTTAAACTCTTGAAAAGTTTATGTAACAAGAATATTTTGTTAATAATTATTATTGTATGCGTATCGTTTTCATTTACAATTTTTACTTTAATATCTTATTTCATTTAGGAGCATATATATAAAATATTATTCCTAAATAGATATAGAGCTACAAGCTACAAGCTGTAAACTCTTTTAATAGAAGCACAATTTTTTGTATAATAATAATAATTTTAAATAACTTTAGTAATGGCATCATATTTAAATATCTCATTTCTCATAAGAAAGTTAATAAATGTCATTTATGAGACTACTTGAAACTCTTGAAATTCAATATTTTCATAAAGTAAAGCTAAGTGATACATTATTTGGAAAATATACGAGACAAATGTTACAAAGTGAATACAATTGTTGAAAAATATTTATTAGATTTTGAAGGCATACACACACATATACATATCAACACTCTATAAACGGCAACATATACATAGTAATACACTTCTCATTTATTCTACTTCTAGTGCTGTGTGCCGCACATTATCGTATCTATGGAATAAATGATTAATCTAAATCTCAATATACTGATAAATTCAAGATATGGCAATAATACGTTAACATCACTCTCTTATTCTTATTACAAAAGGTACTTAGTGCATAAATCATTGCATTGGTGTCATGCTTTTGTACGAATCCGATAAACATATAATCACATGGCAGTTAATGGAAGATCACGAATGAGTTTTCATCTATTCAGTTTTCGATGAGAGCCGTTATGTGAGAGATGAATATCTTTCTCTTTAGCGTATTCACAATGTTTTTCCCGCTTCCAGTTTATGCAAATACCCAGCATAGCGACTGTCACCAATGCTCGAGCAGATTAAACAAATTCGTAATTTAATTATTAGTAACAATTCTTCATTCGCTTTTAGAATATTTAACGTCATTCTATTCAATGTCACATCATGCACGTGATTTAAAACTTTTAGACCATACATACAAAGACATAAAGTAGGCACTTAAATTTTTGAACACACAATATTGTGTGGAAATATAGATCTTATATAATACAATAATAAAATATTATGCACTATATATTATGAGCATCTTATAGAGACCCTTTTTTTATCATTTTTTTCCTATATAAAGTATGTTACAAAGAGAAAATAACATAAAAGTGTTACGTATTATTAAGGCTTTTTACAAATATTTACATGTATTATTATTAATAAATATTTCCATTCATTTCTTATAAAATTTCATGATAATTTTAGCTTAATATTTGAATTTTTAATAACAGTCCTTTATATTGTAATTTTATATTGCAACTTGTAAAAAATGATTAATTTGATAAAAATATGTATTTATAAATAAAAATGAAACAATTCTAACAAAAATGTCAAATTCTTGATATATTAAAAATGTTTAATCATGTTTAATATTAGTTGTATTATTAATGTTTAAGGATATTGTACATGGCATGCACAAATACCATATATGTGTGGCACTATTATTTATAAATGAGAACAAATACTGTTACATATAAAACTATAAAAAATATTAACTTTTTAATTTTTGTACCTCATTTTAATTGTATTATTTTTTAAATATTTCTTGAGCTATAAAAGCTTTATGTATGAGATCTACTTTATAGAAAACAATTTTCTGTCAAAAAAATTTAACAATAGAATAGAATTAATAATGACATCTCAAATTATTCTTATTAAATTATTTTTAAATATGGCATATCATATATAAAAAATAATATACGCTATTAGTGCAATGTACAATTCAATGATTAAATTTCAAAAATGTCAATATCAAAATGAATGAAAAACTAATAAAAAGATTTTTCTCACTCATTATTACCTATAACTTATTTAGAAATTTGAAGTAATATGCATTATACATTATAGTTATCATAAATTATAAATTATTATCATTTTGGTTTTTATTTTGTAGTTTCATTGATTTGTATTATCAATTTAAAACATGCAAATGCATTAAATCTATCAATTTTATGACAATTTGGTTTGTTAAGATTTTAAATTTATTAATATCTAAACAAACCCTTTGATATATGTACAAAAAAGTACTTTCACACGTGTGTAGTCATACGTGAAAATAAGTTAGAAATTATCTGTTTTTCGTAAGTTAAGTAAACTTAACTGTAACTCTCTCATTATCTCTCTTTCTCTCTCTATTGCATATATGTGTAAAATATATATCGTGCCTTATATTAAAAACGTCAACAGATAATCAAAATACTTTTGTTTATATTTTTGTCATTTAAACTATGATTACTTGAAACTACGAAAATTCAAAAATGGATACAACACCTTTCTTACGTATTTACTTATAAATGCAGATTTTAAGAAAATATCTATTTTAAAACTAGATTCTTTTTTTTGGTCATACATAAATTACACAACCATACTATTGTCAAATAGTATCCACACTATATAGATGCTATTATACATAAATAATGCCAATATGTAATAAAAATTAAATTTAACAGTAAAATATTGTTTATATATACATGCTCCTTTATAAAGATTAAAACGAGAAGCGTAAGCATTTCCGAAATTGTCTATAAAAATATTTAACATTTAAGCTCGTTAAAATTGTTTACCAATGTGTAACAATTTACATTGCAAATGTTGCTCATGCTTAATGAAAGATAAGATAGTTGGGACATTATAGTTAGATGTTAAATTCGGAAGAGAAGCATTCGATAAAGTAAGAAAAAGAAATGAGAGAAATTTATACAAGTTATTATATAATTTTGAAACCGTCCCGATGCATAATGACGTTTGAAACAACTGACACAAGAGGCAACATGTAGAATAAAGAAAATTATTTGGTTCCGTCACATTTTGCATATTATATAAGAGAGCACGTGTGAAATAATTTGTAAACATAGTGTGAATAATGAATATATACATATTGTATATACAGGCAATAAGATTTCTTTATATGTAAATATATAATCACATATATATATGTATGTATATATGATTATATCAATGTGGCAACTAACATTTCGATCACATCGTGCAACATCAAATATTACAACAACACAGAGAATTGTTAACCAGATAAAAAGCTGATATAACGCTATATAAATAGATATAATATATACATTATTATATAAATTGTATATATGCAAGAAGACAGGCAAGATTAAAGCAAGTAAAACATTCAAAATTATTTTGTATAGAGGCAATTATTAATATCTTCAAATGCCTTCATGCATGTCCTGTAATATTATTCATTTCCATATCTTTAAAACTTATTGTTACTAGGTGTTAAATAAAATTGTAAAATATGATAATGGCTAAGTATAACTATATATCAAATAATATTGCTTTAATACTGTAGATTCTTCATATTTTTCTCATATGTGTATAATTTTTTAATAAAAAATAAATTAATATGCAAAGAAATCATTTCAAAAAGCTAGGAGTAAAAGAAAAATTTAACTGTACATCACCTAGCTCAAACAGATTTTATACATGTTTGATTCTCTTGCAATATCATAATCGTTTAATAAGAACGATACATGACTAGCAAGAAACAGCAATAGAGATCGCTTTAATTTAGAATTAATAAATATTGATTATAAATATTATGCAAATACAAAATTCTCATTTGTACTCTTTCCACCTGTATATGGTTTTGCTAAATAAATTCTCAATATTTGAAATATAAATAGCAATATATCGAGATAAAATGATCTAAAAATTTCTCTTTTACAACCAAATATGGATATAAAAAAAATTATCTGTTGCATGTTTGTGTGTGTGTGTACAACCTTGTGCCATTAATAAATTAAAACATATTACAATTCAAGGGGTACATCCCCGTAACTAACCTCCTGTAGCAGATCCTGGGCAGCAATGGCCT